TAAGTAGTTGGGGGTAGAGAGTGAAACTAACGCAAAGGCCTTAAGCACTTTACAGTAAGAGAAATAAGCAAAAAAAAAAATCTTATAACATTTTTGATAAATTTTAATGATTAGCAAATTTTTTAAAGTATTTTTTTTTCCTTTCAGGGTATTTTGATGAAGACAGGATGAATGAATTCATACCATCAGATTCTGATGAAACCTCAATGAGTTTAAGTTCAGATGATTATCCTAAGTAAATAGAATTTTTGTTTGTATAAAAATGCTGCGTATTTTTTCATTTCAAACTTCCATAAATAGTAATAGTAATATAATAAAATTAAAAATAGCTATCATTCTCATGTAATAGCTTATCATACTGAATTTTACTCTAACATTTATTGGTTAGGAAAGAAGATCTGCATATGTGTATATTCTCACTATTATAGTTTGTAAATTGACGTGTATTATGTATATAATATATGTATGTACATATGCATATATACACATATATACATTTATATATACTGATACTCATATGCATATAGATCATAGAATTTGCAGTTAGAAGTTCAAGATATCTTGAATGTTTCCTTTTTTGTTTTTTAGTCTCCTTATTTTTCTTGGAATTTTAAAAATTAACAAATAAAGGAAATCAGAGTACTTATAGAAGAGTAGTAATAATGACTTAATATTTTTCAATCTATGTTCCTTTGAATCTATAAAATATTGTATTAAAGTTTAAATTTTTTGTAGAATAAGCAGTGCCCCATTTAAGTCCTTTACAAAGCTAAAATTTGTGCATTTTCCAGAAATACATATTTTCTGAATTGAAACGTGAATATTTTACCAGAAAAATATTTATTTTAAATTTAAATATTTATTTTAAACTTAATTTTCTAAAAAAGGTGCTGCCCTGCTTATTTGGATGATGTAATGTTAAATAAGCAAAACTTTTTTTGATAGGATCATGGAAAAATCTAGCATTTAAACCTGGAAGGAAATATAGGAACATTTCTGTAACATTACACGAGAAATTATTTTGGTTTACTTTATAATTAGCCCTATATTACAGATTCAAATTTTTTTTAATTCATACTCTTTTCTAGGGAAAAAAAGTTCAAAGGGAAAAAAAGAACTAGTTCAGGTGGACATGATAATGTAGAAGTAATTAAAGTATGGAATTCAAATCTGGAGGTGGTGGTGAAGGGCAGAAGGATGAGCTGGCCAGCATTTCATCTATGACCGTAAAAAAAGAAAAAAAGTGAGTCTAATGTAGAAGTAAACTTTTGTATTTATGTAAGGATCAAAAAATGTTGGTAATATGATGTCAGCTATTTACTTAGGGTTAGGTGAATTTCTTGGCAGGAGAAGCAGTGGGTTTATTATTGACAAAATTTAAAGTCACGTTACAGTTTAAATTAAGATTTCATCATTTCAGAACCTACTAAGTCCGTAGTTTAGATCATTGAGATTGATAGGGTATACATTGACCTTTAATTTTAAAAACAGATTTGTTTTCTATGTAAGTTGTGTAAAGATTTCATTAAAGATTTTTTAAATGTTAATATTTTAATACCCTTGGTAGTATTTATTACCCAGCATCTATTAATGAAATTATTTAGCATGTTAATTTTTAAAAGGATTATAATACCATTTTGCTTAGACCTTATTTGATTATTCCACATTCTTTGAGCTTAAAAGTAACAAAACTTCATTTCTGTTGTTTATTTTTGTATAATTTACATTAATATAGAACACATTGTTTTCCTATATTTTATTTTCTAAAACATAGAACTTCTTAGGTAATAAGTAAGCTAATGTTTCTAGAAAGTTCAGTGGAAAAAACAATAAAACTAAATCACACGAAGGACCATCATAAAGACTTCTAGCAATTAAATTGAAGAGCATATAATAAATGAACAAAAATTGCAATCTCTGAGATTTCTTTAACAGACACTTTTATTTCCCATGATTCCAAGTGAAATGGCACAGAAGAGAACACATGATAGGCAGAACTTCACATATATTTATCCTAGAGTGACACAGGTTAAAGACACTAAAGGATTGATTTTCAAAGTATCTGAAAGACAGAAAAATACCAAAGGCTTGATAAAATGATTATGGATTTTATTATTCTAGAAAGAAGTCACCAAGAATATATCAGCAACTGCTGTCCTACTTCTTTTCTCATCTTAACAAAACCTTTATGAGAATAATTTACATACGTTAAAGCTCTCTGTGCTAATGGTATGTGAAGGAAATAGGCAGAGTTTTGCAAATATAATCTCATCTTTTTTGTTACATGAATAAAAGAAGAACAGAAGATGCAGCAATGGTTTATTGAAAATATTTGATTCAGTACAGCTTTGAAAACTGATCTAACAAGGAATCTCTCTTGTTTTTGTTGCCATATTACAAGACTCATTGATAGATCTGACAACAAAAATAAATTTCTACAGTGAGTGTTTCACATTAGCCAACATATAAAACAGATGAATGTTTCCCAAGTCTTTGCCACTAACCTGGAGGATATCCAACGAGAGTCCTGATGGGATTTCTTTATAAAATTCTTCAGCTGTACCTTTTTGTGAGCAACATCATTACATCAAGCACCAAAACATTTCAGAGCCACTTAAATGAGATTCATATTTGTTCAAGAGTTTGGCTTAACTATCCACAGGAAAAATCTAGTAGATGAAGAATATCTGTTGTTTAGGCTTAAATTATACAATTATACAGTTGGAGTAGGTCAGTTAGCACTTATGTATTAGACAGATACTGAACAAAAAACTAGGCATAGATTTGAAGAGTAGGAAAGTAGAGTGACATGATTTGCCTTTTTGAAACTGTGCAGTGTAATGACAGCAGTCTCTTTTGTGGATTAAGTTCTTATTTTTTCAACAATTATTTACTTTTGGTGATGGTATGTGGCTATGAGTCATTGGAATATAATTTCCTTAAAAGATTTGAAGTGCGTCGCACCTATTGAATCATGGACTATATATAAAAGTGGACTTTTCTCTTTTTTATTAATTTTTATTTTGATTTATCAACAATCACTTCCATATGCTTTTGAGTTGAAAATTTTTCTCCCCCTTCCTTCCCCTCACCCTCCCCAAGATGGCGCACAATCTGATATAGGCTTTACGTTTACATTCCTATTAAACATATTTTCACATTAGTGAAGTTGCAAGTAAAAATTAAAACCAATAGGAGGAACCATCAGAAAGATGAAACAAAACTCAACAGAAGGTAAAAATAAGTGATAGCGATTCGACTTCCATAGCTCTTTCTTTGGATGTGGACGGCATTTCCCATCCCGAGGCCTCTGAAGATGTCTTAGATCCTTGTAATGCTGAGAAGGGTTCCGTTAACAATATTAGTCATCGCATAACATGGCTGTTATTGTGTACAAAGTCCTCTTGGTTCTGCTCACTTCACTCAGCATCAGACCATATAAGTCTTTCCAGGTTTTTTCTGAAGTCAGCCTGTTCATCATTTCTTATAGCACAATAGTATTCCACTACATTCATGTACCACAACTTGCTCAGCCATTCCCAATTGATGGGCGTCCTCTCAATTTCCAATTCTTTGCCACCACAAAAAGAGCTGCTATGAATATTTTTGTACATGTGGGTCCTTTTCCCATTTGCTTGATCTCATTGGGATATAGCCCTAGAAGGGCTATTGCTGATCAAAGGGTATGCACATTTTTGTAGCCCTTTGGGCATAGTTCCAAATTGTTCTCCAAAATGGTTGGATCATTTCACAACTCCACCAACAATGTATTAGTGTTCCAATTTTCCCACATCTTCTCCAACATTTATCATTTTCCTGTTTTGTCATGTTGGCCAATCTCATAGGTACGATGTGGTACTCAGAGTTGTTTTGATTTGCATTTCTCTAATCAATAGCGATTTAGAGCATTTTTTCATATGACTTTAGATGGCTTTAATTTCTCCACCTGAGTACAGTCTGTTAATATCCTTTGAGCATTTATCAATTGGGCAATGGCTTGTGTTATACATTTGTCTTAATTCTCTATATATTTTAGAAATGGAGCCTTTATCAGAGAGACTGGTTGTAAAAATTCTTTCCCAATTTTCTACCTTCCTTCTAATCTTAGTTGCATTGGCTTTGTTTGTGCAACTTTTCAATTTAATGTAATCAAAATTACATTTTGCTTTTCCTAATGTTCTCTATCTCCTGTTTGGTCATGAATTCTTCTGTTCTCCATAGATCTGATAGGTAAACTATTCCTTGTTCTCCCAGTTTACTTATGGTATCAGCCTTTATATCTAAGTCATGGACCCATTTTGACTTTATTTTGGTATATAGTGTGAGATTTGGGTCTATGCCTAGTTTCTGCCATACTCTTTTCCAGTTTTCCTAGCAGTTTTTTTCAAAGAGTGGGTTCTTATCCCAGCAGCTGGGGTTTTTGGGTTTATCAAATACTAGATTACTATAGTCATTGACTACTGTGTCTTGCATATTTAACCTATTCCACTGATCCACCTTCCCATTTCTTAGCCAATACCAAGCAGTTTTGATGATTGCTGCTTTATAATACAATTTAAGATCTGGAATTACTAGGCCTTCTCCTGCATTTCTTTTTATTAGTTCCTCTGATATTCTGGACCTTTTGTTTTTCCAAATGAATCTTGTTATTTTTTTTCTAACTCTCTAAATTAATTTTTTGGTAGTTTGATTGGTATGGCACTGAATAAGTAAATTAGCTTTGATAGAATTGCCATTTTTATTACATTAGCTAGGCCTACCAATGAGCAATTGATGTTTTTCCAATTATTTAGATCAGATTTTATTTGTGTGAAAAGTGTTTTGTAATTGTCTTCATAGAGTTCCTGGGTTTGTTTTGGGAGGTAGACTCCTACATATTTGATAATGTCTACAGTAAGTTTAAATGGGATTTCTCTTTCTATCTCCTGCTGTTGGGATTTGTTGGTAATATATGGAAATGTTGTTGATTTATGTGGGTTTATTTTATACCTGCAATTTTGCTAAAGTTGTTTATTATTTCAAGTAGTTTTTTACTTGATTCTCTAGGATTCTCTAAGTATATCATCATGTCATCTGCAAAGAGTGACCTTTGTTTCTTCTTTGCCTATTGTAATCCCTTCAATTTATTTTTCTTCTCTCATTACTAAAGCTAAGGTTTCCATTACAATATTGAATAACAGTGGTGATAATGGACATCCTTGTTTCACCCCCGATCTTACTGGAAATGCTTCTAGCCTGTCCCCATTACATAGAATGCTTGCTGAAGGTTTTAGATATATTCTATTTATTATTTAAGGCATATATGTTTGGTAATGATATTATTTTATTTTCTATGGTGCCTTTTAGCAGGATGTAGTTTCCTTACTTATCTCTTTTGATTAGATCTATTTTTGCTTTTGCTTTGTCTGAGATCAGGATTGCTATCCCTGCTTTTTTTTTTTTACTTCAGCTGACACATAATATATTCTGCTCCAGCAAAAGTGGACTTTTCTGATAGCAAACTTAGAGGGATCATGCATTCAGTGTCAGGAAAACTAGGGAAAGGTAACCAATCTGTTTGGGTAGACGTGAACAGCAGATGATGAAAAGAGATTAGTGGACTGCCATCTCTCTAACGAGAGAAAATACCCAAATTGATGAGATCAGAGATTCATCAAAGTGGTCAAAAGGATGAGTAGTCCTTTCTGCTTATTACATATATATAGGCTAGTATCATTGCGATTTAGAATTAGAATGGACTTTTAAAAATATCTGGTCACGTAATCATAAAGTCTCAGAATTGCAAAACACTCTAGCAGAATTCCTTATAGAAATAACAGACCAAAAAATCATCCATTCTTTGCTTCAAAACTTCTACAGGAAGGGAGATTAGAAGATAGTGCATTGGAGGCATGAGGGAATGTTTGTTTTTCTTTATGTTAAACCTAAATTTGCTTCCATGGATTATCCATGAGATGATTGTAGACTTCCTAATAGTTAACAAAAGCAATTTTGCATCCCTGGAACTCTACTTTGACACCTACAAGGCTTTGCTGATCTGGATCCACTGATCCAGTCAGAAATGTCAGGGAAGAGCTGTTGACTCACAAAAGCTTATTTAATGGATTGATAGTCCCTTAATCTAACTAAATCTTGCAGATTGTTACAATATCTTTTAAGAAAGACTAGCACTGCTCGCATATCAATCACTGCTCTCACAATATTTTCTAATTTCTTATCCTGTTTCCTAATCTCTAAAGCAGAAATAATAAAAGTAATACTTACTTTATGGGGCTGTTGTTAGCATCAAATGACATAACATAGTACATTTACGTATCTTAAAGTGCTATAGAAATGTTACCTTTGCAATTTAATAGATAAGAAGACAGATCTAACTTTTTATAATTTTAACTTATTTTATAGTACTTTATACACTTTATAATATGAGATTGAGCGTAGGGGATAAAAAGACTGAAATATGATAGTCCTTGCTTTTAAGGGATTTACATGCTAGTTGGAGTATATAGCACAGAAATAATGGGTAGAAAAGCAGTTCACAAAAGGTCAT